CGTGGTAGCGCACCATGGCCCCACAGCGCAGCAGCCACTCCGATGCTGCCCTATCGGGTCCCACATCCCTGATGCGTTCATAATCCACTCTGTCGGCAAAGAACAAAAATAGTTCGTTTTTAGTATAATCGCTAGCTGCTTAATGACAGTCCGTCAACATAAATACAGTACAGCAACAACTTTTCCTTTCAAATGACTGAGAGGGAGGGAAGTATACTCGTGAGAGTCATGTAAAAAAACATGAGGGCTCTTCCGGCTCCCTTTTTTGTTTTTCTTTTGTTCCCAAGTGAACTCTGTCTAGGCCTATTGTTTGTATATGAGTTTATCAGGCAGACATGTACCTTCATTGATTCACATGTAGCACAGTGCTTGACACCAGGAGGTACTCGGTAACTACGTGTTGAATGAACGACTATACTGGGTTATTGTTTTTTTTTTTTTAATGATAAAAGATAGGGGCGCCTGGGTGGCGTAGTCGGTTAAGCGTCCGACTTCAGCCAGGTCACGATCTCGCGGTCCGTGAGTTCGAGCCCCGCGTCAGGCTCTGGGCTGATGGCTCAGAGCCTGGAGCCTGTTTCCGATTCTGTGTCTCCCTCTCTCTCTGCTCCTCCCCCGTTCATGCTCTGTCATTCTCTGTCCCAAAAATAAAAAAAAAATAAAAACGTTGAAAAAAAAAATTTAAAAAAAAAAGATAAAATGGAATAATTTCAAATCTGTTCAAATTAATGTCACTAATTTTTAATTATTTAATTTTTACATTTGCCTTTCTCACTAGTTGGTGGTATTAAAGCTGTATTAAGCAACAAGCAGATGAGTTTCATTAGTTTCAAAATGATATTTCGTTTTTTTAAATCTTTAAATGTTTATTTTAATACAGGAAGAGAGAGAGAAAGAGAGAGCAAGTGGGGTAGGGACAGAGAGCAAGGGAGAGACAGAATCCCAAGCAGGCTCCACACTGACAGTGGAGCCCGACACAGGCTTGAACTCACAAACAATGAGATCATGACCTGAGCTGATATCAAGAGTCAGACGCTTAGCTGACTGAGCCACTCAGGTACCCCTCAAAATGACATTTCAAAGCATGCCACCCACTTTTTAAAAAACTTGAGTCCCCATGGTAGTATTTAAAAGGCTAACTACATCCCTTAAGATTCCTTTCATTTTAGAAAACTTGAATGGTATGGAAAGGACAAGTAACAAAAATCACTGAAATCTTGACTGGAACCCAATTAGTTAATATTTTGTATTAGTAATGTTAATATTTTCTGGTCTTTATTCAATGTTTGTATGTATGTTTTGTTATTAAACAAAATTAGGATCATATTGCACAAACTGTACAAAAAAAAGATATTTGACATACAAGAAATAACCAAATTAGCTACTGGAATCTCATCAGCTATAATAATTACCATGTTTCTTCACCTTAGAGTAACTTACTTATTAAACACTGCATTCAACCAGCCCCAGAAGTATCTGCAGTCACATGACCATGGGAGTTTCTTTAAGCCACACAACTGCTGGGAAATTTTTCCAAACAGCATCATTTGATCTAGACACACAAAACAGTATTCGTATTAGGTTATCAGCTGGCAATCAGAGTCCCAAACACACAGTAACTTGCTTTACAACTTCAAAGTCAATGCTCTTGTGCCAATGAAGTTGATGAGTCATTTGCCACCCAAAGTTATTGAACAAGTCACTCCTGTCTCTGTTTCCTGGTTTCTTTGCTGCAAAAAAAAACAATAGAGAGGCTGGATTGGATGGTCTGGAAGGTTCCTTCCAGCCTTGATATTAAGTTTCATTCTTCAACTTTGGGTTGGAGTCTGCCTGCAGTGTCGCCACCTGATGACCATTCAGGCAGTCCACCTACACATTTGCTGAAACCAGCTACTCCCAATCTACATTTCCAGTATCAAAATGACAAACGAAAATCACCTAGGGAGCAATGTGTCGAGGTTAAGACGCTTATATTCAGGAAGGGAGAGGCGCCGTGAAAACAGACCTTTCTAAGACAAGGTTGCAAGTAGTATCACCAGAATAGTGCAAACAAAGGCAAGGGCAGCTAGGACAGATTGGGCAAGTAACTTCACCTCTGTGACCCTTGTTTTTCTCACTTGTAAAATCAGATGATTTGCTCAGGTGATTTCCACCTGTAAAAATCTATGAGCATGAGTTGAGAAAGTGATTTCTGAACTGAGTCTCAATCTGATTTAATTCAGTTCAAGTTTCTCTAGGAGTGTGCTAAGTCAGAGGAAAACAAAGATAAATGAAGTGTGGTTTCTGCCTTTGGATTGCTGAAAACTTACTGTGGGGTGAAGTGAGCTAAAACAAGTTATCAAGTCGTTAAAGTAAATGATAGAACCTGAAAATTCCTTAAAGAGGTAAAATAAGGATAGACCAGGATTTCAACAGGCAAAATGCCAGGAGAAGGTATGTCAGGTGATTAGCTGAGGCAGAAATAGTTAAGGCATGCTGTAGCTCAGTTTGGTTAGCACATGGGGATCATGAGAAGAGGAGGCAGACAGTTTACACAGTCACATCAGGAAGGGTCTCGCCTGATCAGCCAGGGGATTTGGATTATCTTCCACAGGCAGTTGGGAGTCACTGAGGTTTTAGCAAAGAGCACTGGCATGTTAGAGCTATGCTTCAGAATGTTATTTGGACAACATCAAGACTGAGGGTCAATAGAAAAAAACAAAGAAACAGCTAACAAGGGCTTCAACTGCGCACAGCCATGGGAAAGGACCAAATGGGGAAAGAATGGGAACGACATTACAGAGTGGATTCCACATCTCAGTGAGATGTTCTGGCAAGGGCCAGAATAGTTGAAGATGACATTAAGTTTTGGTCTTGGGTCACTGGTTGGATGGTGATGCCATGAATAGAAATCAGTGTCAGGAGAACCAGCTGTAGGTTTCTCCCACCCCCATCCCCAGCTTTTCATATCCTAACTATGAAGTGTTAGCAGAACTTCTAAGTGGAGATAACCAACAAATTATTAGAGTGATTCACAAAATGGGAGAACTGGAATGAACTTAGACCACCTAGACCATTTAGAGATGAGGAAACAGGCCCTCATATTAAGTAACTTGCCAACACCCTAAATCCCTTCTGAAACAAGGTGGAGATTTAATAACTGCATATGTTTAAAAGAACTTACTCAATGTTTCATGGCTAATTGGTGGTAGCACGGAGACCTGAACCGAGTGCTCTCTCCTACCAGTCCAGAGCTTTTCCCTCAATGGATGGTACTAGAACTTGGGAATAAGAAGACTAGAAAGAGGCCTGAGTGGGAACCACCCTAGAACTGAGAAGTGACTGCAGATGTTGAGGCTATAGAACAGTGAGAGATGAGGTCTGAGGACAGAATCCGGGATCACCTCTATTCTTCATTTCTTTTCTACCATCATCTGCCTTCATCACTGCAAACCTCCCACCTGCTATCACTATCTCATTCTCAGCCCTTTCCAACTTTTTGTTAAAGCTCTCTCCACCTGTGCCCACCTCTGATAACTCAACTGGCTGCCAATCTCATTTATCTGGGCTTTCCGGCTTCAACTTAGGCTGTCCTATTTCCTGTCCCTCCCCGCTTTCCATCCCGATCCTGTCTGTGGAAATCTTACCCAGCCTCATATCTATCCATCCATTCATTCATTCACTCAATAAGTATTTATTGAATGTCTGCTATACTTAGTGCCAGAGATACAATGGTAAGATTAAAAAACGACAAAGGAGAGACAGAGAAAGACAAGGTTCTTTATCCTCATAGAATATATACTCTAATGAAGACAACATAAAAACAAATAAATAACATGCAATATGTCTAAACAGAGGTATTAACAAGTTCTGTGAAACACAAGAGGAGGGAGGGAAGGGAAGACACTAGAGGTGTCTTTTGAGAGGGTCTTAAAGGATAATTAAGAGTTTCCAGTTAGGCAGACAAAAAGAAAAGTGTGCAGAGGAAAAAGGAGAGCAAGGATTACATCTTATTCATTTCCATTTTTCTTAGGACCTAGCACATTCCCATCCACCAAATGCAAGAGTTTAATAGATATTTACTAATTAGTGGTCTTCAATGGTTGATAGATTTCCATAGAGAAAGGCAAACCAGAGACTGTTATTAAGTAAATTAGAGTAGTCTGTGAAAATTGAGTACCTTCACTTGATTCATTTTGGTTCACCTTATAATTCAGCTTAAAGGAAAGGCTAAATTTACTCCAGCTAGGATCTCTAAAAATACTAGATTATTATATTTAAAATACTTTAAACATGAACATAAAAATTTTACTTGGCAATAAAGGTAAAAAAAAATAATAAATTGGTAGGGTTTTACATTCTCAACTGCACCCCTGCTGATTTTAGAATTCAAGCAGTTACTTCCGGAAATGTTTTCTATAGGGAAAGAGGAGACCTCTAGTGGTGAGTTGGTGAATTTAGCTCTAATGATCGGGGGAAAAAAACAAACCAGTTAACAGCTAAAAAAAAAATAGCCACTACTAAATTATTGCTTCAATAAATAATTCAGAAATTAAAAAATCATTTAAAAAAGCTCCTTCTTACTCTCATAACCTGGCTTAAAGCACATGTTTCTAAAAATTACAATTATGCTTGTTACTTACAGAAGGCTAGATCTCTAATGTGTGATTCAAAATAGGATACACACAAAATGTTTCTGAGCAGGTTTGGTTGAGAGTTCCCCTGTTTGCATAAAAAAAGTAAGTTTTTTTAAAGTGGAAGTTCTGGGGTGCTTGGCTGGTTCAGTTTGTAGAACATGCAACTCTCGATCTCAGGGTTGTGAGTTCAATCAAGTCCCACATTGGGCATGGAGCCTACCTAAAATTAAAAAAAATTTTTTAAATAAAAATAACAGTGGAAGTTTTGTTTTTACTTAGCTGGGCTATCCAAAGCGATGGCTGACTAAGTGGCCCAAAAGACTGAACTAAAGAACTATTTCTTGAGGGTGATAAAAATGTGAAGGGGCAGATTTGGGGAGATTTTCCCCCAAATTACAACCCCACCTCACTGCAAATCACCCAATATTGATGCCAACTCTTATTCCTGAGGTGTATAGAGTCTAGTGAAAAGGAAGAGAAAAATTCATTAGGAATTAGAAACAAAGTTCCCCAACGCCATTCCTCAGCCAACATCACATGGGATCCAGTGAAGTAATGTCTTACTCGTTCTGACATAGATGGAAGATGAACTTGAACTCTCAGCTGATGGTGGTGTCATGAATACAAAATGTCACACCCAAGACATTACAGGGTGTATGAATGGAAGGTAAGCTCTTGACTTGAAATTACTTAACTGAAACAAATTAAGGTACAGTTAAACCTAGGGGAAGGTAAGCAGAAAAAAAAGTTATACAAAGAGCAGATGTATTGTGAGTTTTTTCATCTTGCTAAACAAAGAAGCATGTACTCAAAATTACATGGTAAACAAGTCACTACTTTGGGCTCAAGTGTCTCATGAAAGTTGACCATAGACATGTGTAATTCTGTATTCAACCTAGTAATAAAAATCCACTACCTCCAGTGCAAACTAAAAAATAACCATCTCCACTAAACACCTATCAGAATGGCAAAAATTAAAAACAGTGACACCACCAATTGCTGGTGATAAGAACGAGATCACTCAAAACATTGCTGGTGGGAATGTATAAAGGAACAGCCACTTTGTTTTTTGTTTTTTATTTTAGAGAGAGACCGAGGGACTGGGGGAGAGGGGCAGAGGGAAGAGAAAGAGAATCTTAAGCAGGCTCCATGCTCAGCGTGGTGGCTGACGCAGGGCTCTGTCCCACAAACCTGGGATCATGACTTGAGCCAAAACCAAGAGCCGGACGATCAACTGAGCCACACAGGTGCCCTGGTACAGCCATTTTGGAAACAGTTTGCCTGTTTTTTACAACACTAAACATTTGTTTATATGACCCAGCAATTGGACTCTTAGGCATTTATCCCAGAGAAACAAAAACAGGTTCACACAAAAAGCAGCACATTAATGTTCATAGCAGCTTTATTCCAAATAGCTAATTAGAACTCAGATGTGTTTCAATGGGTGAACAGTTAAACCTATTGTGGTATACCCATATCATGAAATACTACTCCCCAATAAGAAGGAATGAACCTTTCATACATACAATGATCCCAAGGGATTACACTAAGTAAAAAATAGCTAATTCCAAAAAATTACAGATTGGGGAAGGGGTGCCCCGAAGGAGTGAAGTTATAAAAGGGTACCCGTAGATCCCTTGTGGTGACTGAACTGTGTTGTAGCTGGACCGTGGTGGTGACACAACAATCTACACATGTGATAAAAACTAAACAGAACTAAATAGACACACAAATGTAAAGCTAGGGAAATCTGAGGAAGATCAACGGATTATGTCAATGCCAATTTCCTGGTTATGACACTGTCCTACAGATTTGCAAGATGTTTTCATGGGGGGAGAAGGGGTAAAAGGTACACAGGATCTCTACTGTTCCTTACAACTGTATGGGACTCTACAATTATCTCAAAACAAAAAACTGAATTTAAGGAATAACCATCTCATTATTATTATTTTTTCATTTGTGATGGAAAAAGCAGGTAACATTCTATGTTGTTTTCACAAACAAAGGCATTCAACTGTCCAGGAGGTAAAACCATTTGAACATAATAAAAAGTCATTTATCCAGTGCAGCTGACCCTTCCACAACATAAGGGTTAAGGGCAGTTGAAAGTCTGCATAGGATTTTTGACTCCCCTCAAATTTAACTGCTAACAGCCTACTGTTTGATTAGAAGCCTTACAAATAACATAGGTGATTAACACATATTTTGCATGTTATATGTAGTATACACTATGTTCTTATAATAAACTAGAGAAAAGAAAATCATAAGGAAAATACATTTAGAGTACTGTATTGGATTTACTGAAAAACATCTGCCTCCAAGTGGACAGGAGTTGTTCAAACCTGTGCTCTTCAAGGGTCAACTGTATTTCACTCCGCTAAACACCCTTGGGCTTTATTTCATGTAATCCACACAACAGCCCTGTGTGAGAGACACAGCTATTACTCCTAGTTCACAGAAGAGATCTGAGGCAGAGACGAAGTGACTTCCCCAGGCCACCAGACTAAACAGTTGGAACCAAATCAAAGTCCTTCCAGCAATAAAGTTTTTAACATTCTAATTTTGTTCTGTTCAGCTGTTCTGACCCTAAAAATGAAAAACCGCCGATAAGCACTGAGCACAGGCGTTAAACGGCCACGGTGAGGGCGAATCACCAAACTTCAGTCGGAAGGTCGCTTAGGGATTCCATAGCCCACCTCCTTCACTTTACAGATAAGGACACGGGGTGAAGAGACCTGTACGGAAGAGCCCCGTATTGCCAGGTCCGCACAGTGGGTTTAAATCTGTATCTCCACCCAGGATTTAAGACAAGGAAACAGACTGCCTAATGATGGCAGAGACAGAGCCATCTGGTTCTTCTAGGCGCTCGATATTTACAACACCAAGAAATGACACCGTCAGGAGCCCTACAAAAAGAAGTCCAGAAGACCGCAGGCTACCAGGCGTTGCCGCGACAAGGCCTCCGTCCGGAGCGAGAGCTAGGGCCGGACGGGCAGCGCCCCTCAGTGGGCAATTCGCCTGCGGGTGGCCAGCAATGGGCCTCCCGCAGACAGAGGCCGAGCCGGAGGCAGGAAGGCCGCTGGGCCCGCCCAAATGAGAGCTTTCACCCCAGTCACGCCCGCACTCTCTCCCAAGGCCCCGAGGACGCAGGGCCTGAGATGACAGAACGCGCGGCTCGGCGGGCTACCTTTTCAGTGAGCCCCGCAGCGGGAGAAGGAAAAGGGCAGAGCGTAACCACCACCATACTCCCGCCTCGCGCGGGGCCTAGCTACTCTACTCACGGCATTGGAGAAAGGGAGGGAGCGAGCGAGCGTGCCCCGCGTCTACGGCGCCGCCGGCCTGCCCTTCGCCCTCCGCCGTGCGTGTCCATTGGCTACTGGCGTCGCTCCCACGTGGGGCGAAGACACGTGCTCCATTGGCCCCTGAGTGGGAGGCGGGATTAGACAGCGCCGAGAGCCCCTCAGGGTCGGGCTCGAGGGACCACCTCTGGGGGCTGAGGGAGGACGGGGAAGGGGCGCAGGCGATGGTCCCCGCACTGCGCTATATCCGCGGTGCCTGCGGCCCGGCCCTCGGAGGTTTCCCCGGGGGGTTTTCCTCCGCAGGCCGGCCGGCGCCGGGGAGGTCCTGGCCGCTGTGCCAAGGTGGCCGCCCAGCTAGCACCCGGTGAGTAGCCGCTGGCCTGCCCTCGCCGCCTGTGCGACCGCTTCTCTCGGAGGTGCCTCTTGCTGGACCTCTGCCCCTACTCTACTTCCCTGCCCCGGGCGTGAGTGAAGGTGAGGTCCTGTGGAGCCCTGGCTGCAACCTCGGATCCCAGGAGTTACCTGTAGGATTCACTGGTTGTGTTTGTGTGACGGATGAAAAGAATAAGGCGGTGTTGAGTGGAGCTCTAGAGCAGTTCTGGTTTTCAGTACTACCCTCCACTTCCCTTTCAATTCTTGGGTGGGTTACTTAAGCTTCTTAAAGGCTCAGTTGTGAGTAGGAGCCTAGTCTCTCCCGTAGGTGGTCGTTTTAAGGGTTAAAGGACCTATCACACTAAGCAATCAAAGAAACTGTTTATTAGCTGGCATCCCTGATGTTGCTTGGATGATTTGAAACCATTCTTAAATCAGTCAGTTCCTGGCAAACACTGCATAGAGTTGCCCTGCGAGAAGCAGTTCAGTTACTAGTCAAAACCTGCACAAGTAAGTGTCCTGTGATTTGAAGTTTGGAGGTCACATTAGAAACCACGGTCTTTCTCTGCTCTCTGTGAAGGAAATGGCTTATGCTAAGGCATTAAAGCTGGAAAGCTCTTGGATATTTTGGGAAGTAGAAGGTGGGCAAATTGAATGTGGCTGGAGCTTAGTGGAATAGAGATGGTGTGGAATGATACTGGAGACAGGCTACATCACAGCAGAGATTTGATTTGATTTTAACTACACATTGAACTTTAAAGGAATTGGGAGACTTAGAGGATTTTTAAGAAGAGGGAGTGCTTAAATGTTGAGGTTTCAAAAGTTGACTGGCTGCTGTGTGTTAATTTGGAGGATTAGAGTGGTATAGGATTTGTGATTCATAGTGGAGGTATGTAGACAGTTATTTTGGGAATGCTTTTCTTAAGGAAACAAGGTAGAGTTAGTGAGGGTTTTGTGTATACTTTTTATTTTGAAATAATTCTAGACCCACAGGAAATTGCAAAAATACAGATTTTAGGTAACCTTCAGCCAGTTTACCCAATGATAGCGTCTTCCCTAACTATAGTACAATATCAAAACTAGGAAATTGACATTGGTATGACACAGACCGTGTTCAGATTTCATCAGTTTATAGATGCACTCATTTGTGTGTGTGTTTCTATGCAATTTAATCATGCTGCTTTGTGTAACTGTCATCACAAAATACACCACAAAGATATCTCTTATGTTACCAATCCCTTTATATTCACATACCATCTCTTCACCCTTCCTAACCCTTGGCAATCACTAATCTAGTCTCTAGCTGTAAAATTTTGTCATTTTGAGAAGGTTTTATAAGTAGAATTACACAGTATATAACCTTTTGAGATTGGCTTTTTTCACACAGCATAACGTCTTGGAGATTCATCCACGGTGTTGCCTATATTGACAGCAGTTTCCTTTTAGTTGTTGAGTAATATTTCATCATATGGTTGTATTACAGTTTGTTTAACCATTCACCAGTTGAAGGACATCTGAACTGTTTGTAATTTGGGGCTTTTATGAATACAGCTGCTGTGACGTTTATATACAGGTTTTTGTATGAACATCAGTTTTTATTTTTCTGAGATAAATGCCCAAGGGTGTAGTTGCTAAGACATATTTAGTTAGCACATGCTTAGTTTTTTATTTTCATTGTAGGCATGGCTTTTAATATAGGGCCATAAAAGGAATATCCATTGAGAAATACTGAGTATTGATTTATAAAAGAAGAGTACACCAGAGGTTCCCAAGGAAGTATAAAACATGAAGTCATGCACCTGGGATCCAGGTTCTGAATATTAGAATTTCCCTTACAGAAAGACTTGAGATGAGTGGAGTCCATGTTTGGGACTCAAAAAGAGACCATTATATCCTTTAAGTGGGAGATCTTCAACAATCCAAAGAATGACCTGAGGAAGAGTGGGAGATCAATGATGTGGCCCAAATTGGGTAAGATATAAGCCCAAAGATCTGTTTTTCCTATGTACGAGTGAGAACAGAACAAAGGAGGTTGTGCCAACGTCAAGGCCTAAACCAATTTTCTGACTTGAGTGGAGTGTGTTATACAACGGCAAAGATAAATGTTTAGTTTTTTAAGAAACTGCTATACTCTTTTTCCAGGGTGGCTGTACTATTTCACATTCCTACCAGCAGTGTGTGAGTGATCCAGTTCTTCCTCATTCTCACCAGCATTTGGTGTTACCACTTTTTAAATTTTAGCCATTCTAAGAGGAGTGTAGTGACATCTTATTGTAGTTTTAATTTGCATTTCCCTAGTCATTAATGGTAGTGAACATCTTTTCATGTGCTTATTTTCCATCTGTAGATCTATCCTCTTTGATGAAATTTGTTCTTATCTTTTGCGCATTTTCAAAATGGCTTATGTGGGAGTTCTTTATGTATTCTAGATAGGAGTCTTTTGTCAGATATGTGGCTTGCAACCAACTTGTTGGTTGTCTTCTTACCCCCTTAACAAAATGTTTTGCAGAACAAAATTTTTAATTTTGATGAAGTCCAGTTTATCAGTTTTCCTTATATGGATCATGCTTTTGGTGTCTTCTCTTCACTTAGCCCTAGATCCCAAAGGTTTTTTCCTTTGTTTTCTTCTAAAAGTTTTATGGTGAATATTTGATGATATAATACATTTATTGTAAATTTTTAAAAATTAGAATACTGGTATTGTGTGCATGTTTTAAAGAAGCCTTTTAGAAATAACATATTGAAATATTTACAGATGCTGTTTAGGATTTGCATCAAAATAATTTAATGCAGGAGGAGATGAAATAGATGGGATATAGAAAAAGCAAGATTAGCCATATGCTTACAAAAGTAGATATGTTGGGCATGAGGTAGGTGCTAAAGGTAATCTTTTTCTGCTTCTCATTACTGAATTAGATAGACTATACATGCCCTTCCTAATCTTTGAAATGGTTGTATAATCCGGATTTATCATGGCTAAAATTGTGGCTGTAAGCCTATTTCTGGATCAGTTATTTCCCTAAGGTTTGAAATTCTCACTGGCTGTTTCCTTCTCAGTAGAAAAAAGTTCTTGCACACTGAAGACTTGAGTGTCTTGAAGGGCCTAAGTCTTAAAGACCTAATGTGTTGGTTTATCCTCAAGAATACTGCACTTGAGTTTTAAATGAATAGTTGGTAGAGAAGAGTGTGATGCTTAACACAGAGTAAACACTCTGCCCAGGCAGAGTGCTGTGGAGGGTGAGATTGAGAGAGGCTTGGGAACTAGTTACCCTGCCTGCTGGGTGTGGCAGCTTATATTACTGACCCAGCAATGCATATAATTCTTAAAGGCTTTTTCCTTTAAGAAGACAATATCATAAAGCCCAATAAATATTTGATTGTAATGATTACAAATTAATAGTTTGATGAAAATTATGCACACGAAATTTGATGAGATCTACTGTAAACATGCAATACTTCAAAGGTGACTTTCTCTTAAAGCTCATTTGATGTAGTCGTTATTGGTGGCGGAATTGTGGGCCTTGCCTCTGCCAGAGCACTCATCCTGCGACATCCAGCACTTTCCATTGGTGTTCTGGAAAAGGAGAAAGATTTGGGTATGTATATTACCAGTGTTGCTCTTTGGGCTTAACCTGAATACCTGCTCATTATTTCAGTTCTGCATCTTTCATGTTGAATGTCATTATTAGTACCTTAGTTTGGGTTCTTCATAAAGCAGAGCCTGGGACCAGAACTTGAGTAGAGGTGATTTATTTGAGATGTTGTTTAGGAGGCAGAAGTGAGGAATGTGGAGAGTAAGCCTGAAAGGAAGAAAAGCCACAGGAGGGTACATAATCAAGGTTGCAATTGTGAGCTTGATTCCTCTGGGACCTCTGAGGAGCAACATAAACATTTCCAAGGATTGTGCTCATTTTTCCATCAGCTAGTGTTTCTACTGGCTGAGGATTGCCCCTGGGGACATTGAGTTGTAATCTTCTCCCTCTCCCCTCTTGTCACATTAGAAAAGGCCGTGGGGCGGAATACCCAGAACTATAGTGGGTTTGCCAGCAGGGAGAGTTGGGTTTGTGCACCAAAGTTTGCTAGTAGTGAGGAGTGGGTTTGTGCATCAAAGTTGTAACTGAAGTGAAAGATGGCCTGAGGGGATGTGGCATGGACACCAGGGATGGCTACTAGAAGAAGTTACCAGTGTCCTGCCTATAAGAACAAACTCAGGCAGAATTTTCAATAATGTGGTCTCTACTAACTTCAACTTTGTTTGTTCCTCCACTTTGTAGCTTTTGAATACTTTGTATAGTTTCTCTTAACCTGTTTCTCTTGTCCGGTAGCTATTCACCAGACTGGACATAACAGTGGTGTCATACATAGTGGAATTTATTATAAACCTGAATCTCTAAAAGCTAAATTATGTGTACAAGGTGCAGCCCTCATCTATGAGTATTGTAAGCAAAAAGGAATTTCCTACAAGCAATGTGGTAAGGTAAGGCATTTTACTACAGCCTTGACTTACTTATAACTAGCATTTTCTTAGCAATGTTTAATGTTGAATTTAAAAAAATGGTTTTTCTATCTTTATGTAATTTTCAAAGTCTAATGTCAGAAAATAACTTTAGAAAAAGTGGTATGACTAACTCCACGTAATTTAAAAAATAACAGTTTTATTGACATATAATTTATATACAGTATGTGATACAATTCACCCTTTATTGAAGTGTTCAATTTGGTTTTTAGTATATTCATAAAATCAT